TTTCTCAAAGTTCATAGTTTCCAGACGCATGTTGTTTAGGAAGTGGATGCCACTATGGATTAAAACTGCCACAGTAGGTATTATTAGAGAGTTGTTAGAATTCACCAGCTGCTCTGCAGGAGAAAGTTAGGCAGTTTCCTCCTGTTCTATATACAGCCTCCAGAAGCTTGCTGGAGGGTCAGCTATGAGTCGGTTCTGACTTGACAGCAGTTAAGTTTTTAGTTGATACTGTGTTGTGCACTGTCGAGTTGGAATTGACTCAGCTGATCCTCCAGTGTCTTTTCAGCGACATGGGAGACTGCCCATCTTTCTCCCGTGGAGTCCTATCGTTTAGTAGAGGTTAGACAGTGTTTAGAATTCAATTCTAGCTAAAAATGCAGGTTAAAGACTTGCTATAGAGCTAAAGAGGTACTTAAAGGACTACATATAGCTTTAAACACTTCTAGTACAAAGAAATAGTGGAGTCTACTTAAGACACTGAAAATGACTACTAAAGCCACTGACACAATTTCTCTCCCAATATGACTTCTGTGTATAATAAAGTGAAGAGCTCTCACTGAAGGCTTTTCCACATTAAATATGTCCATAGGGGTTTTTCTCCAGTATGAGTTCTCCCAGGTCTCCTCAGAGAAGAGACACTGAAGGCCTTCCCGCAGTCACTGCGTTCATAAAGATTCTGCCAGTGTGTATGGTGCACTTTACGGTGAGAGCTTGTATTGAAAGCTTTTCCACACTCATTTGTGTTTCTAGTTTCTCCTCAGTGTGTATCCTCTCGTGCACTTTAAGGTAAGAGCTTTGTCCCAAATGATTTCCACCGTCATTACACATGTAAGGTTTCTCTCCAGCGTGAGTTCTCATAGGAGAATTAAGACCTGTCTTTTGACTAAAAGCTTTTCCACTTAGGTTACATTCATAGAGTTTCCTTTCCTGTATGGATTCTCAGATGTCTCCTTAAGGTTGAGGAATCATGGAAAACTTTTGCACATTCCTTATGTTCATAATGTGTCTCACTCATGTGACTATGCTTGTGCAGGATGAGAGTAGAAGTCCTTTTGAAAGCTTGTCCACGTTGGTTACATTTGTGTTTCTCTCCACTATGAATTTGCTCCTGTTGTTTAAGGGATTGGTGATGACAGTTTTGTTGGTTTTACTACATTTATAGGAGTTTTTCATGATTTGATAATTGTTATGTAGAGTTAATATATTAGACTTGACATATGTATTAGATTTGGAACATGTGTATTGTCTGTTGCTTTAGTTATTTCAAAATACCACAATGCTCTATTATATTTATGACTTTGACAGACATTTTCACATGCATTATTTTTTTATAATTTTTTTATCTGAATTATGTTTAAACATTTCACACCTGATTTGCATTTATAGCAGTGTTTACTAGTGGAAATGGTCTGTGAACATTCAAGTTTTGAGCCAGGTTTAAAATTGTCCTCAAATTAATTCCTTTTTTTTTAGATTTTATTATTTTTGTGTGAGTGTACTGTCAAATCAGATCTGACTGGTACAGGAGGAGATTGTCCCTCCTTCCCCGGCAGAGCATCTGGTGGATTTGAACCGTGTGCCTCTGGGATTGTAGTTGCAGCTCCTTGCCACTAGGCCACCAGAGCTCCCCTTCAAATTAATTCTTGTCACAGATTCTCTTACCTAACCTTTCCTTGGGGTAAAGTTCTCTTTATCTCAAATGTCCCTCTGGGATCTTGTATTTTTTTATCTTACAGCATTCCTAGTCTTCCCCTAAAGTAAATGAACAATGACTGTCTATCTTGAGTTTTACCCTTTTCATTATGTTCAATGGTTTTTCATTTAAAAAAAAGCATAGGAGTTGATTCTTTGGTTTTAAGTTGATCTTCCCACCCACTCTGGATATATACCTTTGGAAAGTCTCATTTTCACAGTTCTTGATCTAACTAGGAGATCACAGTTGGCCTGAATAGTTGATAATCTGTTGAGGTAAGATTTCTGTAACTTTCCAACATCACATCTCCGTACAGATTGCTCTAAGCAGCATCTAGTATTACCCACCTTCTCCTGTGTGAACTCTATAGTCAGATCATTGAAAGTCACTAGCTTCTGTAACCAGGTTTTTGGAAACCTTATAATTAATTATATTTTCCTCCTTAATATTTCCTAATGGAAACATCCAAAAAATCCTGTGCAGGCGGAGCCCATATGGGGGATAGGTCAGTGGCTATCATCCTGTTAAAAATGAAAGTGACAGAGTGCAGCAATGAATTAATGGAAATCCAAAATCTCTGTAAATTTTCATTAAAATTAATAAAATTTAAAAAAAAGTGACAGCCTCCAAAGATGGGCAGACAGATCAAGATGTTCATCTTGCTTTTCTGGTAGAAATAGGGTGGGCTGCATTTCATCAGTGTTAGAGGTTTTTTTTAAATGTCTGTAGGTATTCTTCATGTAACCAAAGAGGCGAGTTTATGTAAAAGAAGAGATGTGGGAAAAGTGAAAATCAAAGTGAAGATAATAATTAAAAAATTGTAAGTAAAGTGTGATCTGACCATCTTAAAATCTTTATCAAGATTTCTGTTGATAAACAGTGTAGTCCCATTTACTTTTGACGTTTGGATGGAAGATGCACGCATCATTTTAAAAAAGGAGTAAGAGAAGCTAAAGCCCATCATCAATACTTGGCTCCTGAATTAAGTTTTATGTATAATTTGCAACTTTTAAAGTTAACTTTTAGGGAGCTCTGGTGGCCTAGTGTCAAGATGCTGCACTGCAATCCCAGAGGTACGCGGTTCAAATCCACCAGATGCTCCTGCTGGAGAAGGAGGAGGCAATATCCTCCTGTACCAGTCAGATCTGATTTGACGGTATATGTAAAAAGTAATACAATAAAAAAAGAGAAAGTTAACTTTTGGAAGAGAAAAAGAAATTCCATGTTAAACATAGTTGATTTAGGTATACTTATTCCCCCTGTTCTGCTCGCCACTGTTCGTTTTCCTTTGCACTGCCCAATAATAGCTCAGCCTCAGGTGCCATGTCTGAAGTCAGACAAAGGTTTCAAGCCCCGAGTATTTTCATGCTAATCATACCAGTCATTCTAGAAAACAGGAATGGATCTTAAGCAAACTGCTTTACATAATAGAAAACTAGAGGCAAAAGCTACACAGGAGACGTGTAACATCTTGTAAGTAAAAGTGGGCAAGGAGAGTTTGAAGAAACGGCAGTGCAGTAAACCTGCAGTGCTAATTCTGAATAGAGATGAGAAGAGTCTTCAGTAAATATTAACCAGAAACCAAGCCCCTGCCATCAGGTCAAGTCCAGCTCATCGTTGACCCTGCAAGTGGAGTTTCTGAGGCTATACATTTTCATCAAAGTGGACGAGTGGATTTGAACAGCTGTCCAGCGTACCAGCTATCAAGTGGGCCGCCCTGCACCCTGCATATTTCCAAGGCTGTAAAATCTTTAAGGACGTTGATGCCACTGTTGGGCTCTAACCTCCACCCTCCCGGTTAACAGCTAGATGCCTCACTCACAGGAGCGCCACCGGAGCCCAACACACTGAATTCAGCCGTGTGTGATGGGAATTACCACATTTGAAGGTGGTTCAGCCAGGAATGCAGAAATAGTGGAAAATCCGCCAAAACGACCATGATGGATTCAGGGAAAGTTGCTGTTTTCTGAACACAGGCTGCGCCTGGAGTGCTTCCACCGCGTGAGCCCCCTGCTGCCCGCCGGGGACCCCTCCACAATCCCGTCCCTTGAAGCTAAGGGCCTCCCAAATTCAGCACTTTAGCCACGCCCCCCGGGCCACCCGTGCACCGACCTCCCCGGGGCCGCTTCGGGGGCGGGGGGGGGGACACCGGTCGGGAAGCGGACCACCAGGCCGTCCTCCCCGCCCTCCGATGGGGTCCCAGTGCCATCTGGCCAGCGGCCAGAGTGCCAAGGCTGTGACAGGGTCGCCGTTTACACCGCTCGGGCCGCGCACGACAGCACAGATCGGAGGACTGGACACTCGAGTTCCCGCCCTGCTGACCCGGCCACCGCCCCAAATCGCTCCGCGGAACCCCGCGCGCGCGACCCCACCGGCGCCCAAACAGCCGGCACGGAACAGCACTAGCCGCGGAGTCAGGACCTGTCACCCCTCCAGTGGCCGTATTCACTGACCTGTCCCTGACCCAAGTACTGACACAACGTTGCCCACCTGGGCGGCATCGCTCCCCTGTCCGGGATTACTAGGGTCCAGGCGTAGGTACAACCCGGCCGCTGAGCAGCCACTGCTCAGCCATAAGGGGAAAGGTGAGGCGAACTGTCTTAAGGTAGGAGGCAGGCTGAGCACCTGACACGAGAACCAGTCTCGCCGGTGCTTGTGACTACAATTCCCAGTAGCTCCTGCGCCTGCCCCGCCCACCGCGGAGGGATTTTTTTTTTTTAGGCACGTGCCACGGTCGCGGAACTCAACGGCAGGTTTGCTGCGAGAATTTGAAAGACGCGGAGGGACATGAGTACGCGCCTCCAGACGTTTGCATGACGTGGAGGCGCGTGCGTGACGGGGGCGTGTACGTGGCAGGGCGAAGGGGCGGAGCGCGCATGTGACGTATGAAGGCGTGCATGGCGCTACGAGGCCGTAGCGCCGGGGCGGGGTGCGTACGTGACGGGATTGGCGGGTTGGGTTGCAGGCGGTGAGCCGAGCTGGGAGGAGCTGCGGCGGCGGCTGCGGTGGCGGCGGGGAGGCCGCGGCGGGGAGGGTGCTGCTGCCTTCCGCCGGCGGGGCCTGCGGGTCCCGCTCCTCCGGCTGCGCTCACGGGAGACGCCCCGAACATCGCTTGTTGGCGGAGCGCTGGCTCTTTTCTGATTTTGCCCTTCCTGCTTTGATTGTCACGAGGTTGCTTTCCTCCATCGAACCTCCTGATTGCTTGCTGCAGGTATTAAAAGTGCTAAGTTTTGTGTGCTTCGCCAACAGGCACTGATTAGCCCTTATGATCATCTTGTAGTTTATTAAGCGCATCTTTCTAATTGTCTGTTAATGCCATCCATACTTTCTTAACTCTTTGCATTTTCCAGGAAAATTTAACTCCTTGCATTAGCACTATTTCCCCTCTTCGTATTGCTGTTTTATTAAAAATAATGAAGTCGGCTGATGGTTGTTTAAACCAAGTGTTCTGTATAATACAAACTGAGGTTCCTCCTTAACGTTTCTTCCCACCCCCAGAAATATCAGATGGGTTTTTTCTGTATGAAGGGTATTTAACCTTTTTTTTTTTTAAATATATGACCTGTCAGCATTTGCTGAAATGATCTTTGTTAAAATAGGGAATTTCTTTAAAATGGATTTCATACCGGTTTAAAATCATAAACACTGCCCTCCAATTCCAGGGAGTTGAGTGGTAGGGAGTTGAACTGCCAACCCAGAGGCAGACAGTGAATCCACCAGCTGCTGTCCGGGTGAAAGATGGGCCGTCTCCTCCCAATTTACAGCCTCTGAAGACCTGCTCAAGGGTCGGCTGTGAGTTGGTTCCAACCCCATGACATGTAACATCCAGTTCTGGTTTGTAGACGCTATAGGGATCTTGTGATGTTGAAGAAGAATACTGAATAGAACAAGTCTGTCTTGTCTTGGAGGAAGAAGTGCAACCGGGCAGCTCTCTAGTGACAAGAATGGTGAAACTTGATCTCACTTAACTTTGAGCATGTTATCTGTGCTTGGAAAAAGACATTATTACAGCAAAGGTAGAGGGTCAGAGAAGGAGAGGAGTATTTAGAAGATGAATTGACATACTGATTGTAGTAATGGGTTCAATCTTACCGGCGATAAGGAGAGATGGTGACAGTGCAACAGGATATGAGCTAGGCTCACATCACTTGTCCTTAGGGCCTCTGTGAGTAAACAGTGAACTCGATGGAGTCTCACAAACAAGAGCAACATACTAGATTTATGCATGTTTACTGTTTACTGAATGTTGTTGTTTACCATCCGGTTGGAAACCAACCCATAGCTGACTCTCCAGCATGTTTTCAGAGGCAGTAAATCCCCTGGAAGGAGACTGCTCATCTTTCTCCCACTGAGCAGCACGTGGATTTGAACTGTATCCCTTTATGTGCGTTGGCAGTGCACTTACCACCAAGCCATCAGAGCTCCCTTTAGTGAATAGAATGTTTAAAAAACTTAACGGCAACTATGTGGGACAATAGACGAGATTTGGTTGAACAATTAAAGTGCCTTTTTGCTTTATAGAATATCCAGACAGTTAGAGGTGACCCAGACACAACCCCTGATGAAGTAACTTCAGGAAGGGGAGGGTAGTGTGATACAGTGCAGCATGTTCGTTGATTAGATCCATCATAACTGGGAAGTAAGACTGGAATTGTGCGTGTGTATTGAGGTTCCAGTGACTGTGGGACCCTGGACCTTAGAGTTGTCTTCTGGCCCTGTTAAACTGGTGGCAGTATCTGTGACTGGTACGTAAGATGGCAAGGCCTTTGGCATGGTGGAGGTCCTGTGCCAAGAACTCTCCACTAGTTTTGTCTCTGCTTGTTTTTAGTAAATGGGTCACCATTGTAAGTATTAGTACAAGTTTTGGGATTTTTTTTAATTTTTTTTTTTCATTTTTATTATTTTTGTGTGAGTGTACCGTCAAATCAGATCTGACTGGTACAGGAGGAGACTGTCCCTCCTTCCCCGGCAGAGCATCTGGTGGATTTGAACCGTGCGCTTCTGGGATTGTAGTTGCAACTCCTTGCCACTACGCCACCAGAGCTCTCTGTTTCAGGAATTTTTTTTAAGCACTTAATAACTGAATTAGCAAACCCACAGGGGCAGTGCGATTCTGACTTCACTCGGGGCGGCTGATTCAGAAAGGAGCTGCACAGGTGATAGAGTCTGAACTTAAAAGTCCTCTGAGTAGATTGAAGAGAGTGTGGATGAAGGACAGAAACCTCTAGCTGTCCCCTAGGTCCTGAGAGATAGAGACTGGTCGGATGTGCAGCACTTATGCAGATTGAACCCGTAATCTGATCCTAGTGGCCAGGGATGTTTTGACCTCATTCTGAGTTAGAGAGGAAATTCTTCAGAAAATTTAGCTGACACCAAGAATCTTAGAGATTGGGGAAGCTGATAGCTCAGGGCCTGTGTTAAGGAAAATTTAAAGTGCTTAAAAGGAAGATGGAAATTGGAGAGTGTTTTCCATGAAGGTGTTTTTAGTAGCTCGAGGTGAGGAAAGGAATTAAATCTATGTTTTTCCAGGGTTTTAATATACCCCAACTAATGACTAGGGATGATAGAAGGAGAGTTGATGCCTTTGAGTTATGGTGCTGGAGAAGAGTATTGAATATACCATGCACTGATAGGAGAACAAAAAGAAGGTGAAGCCAGGCTGCTCCTTGGAGGCAAGGATTCTGAAGCTTCGTCTGACATACTTTGGGCATGTCGCAAGGAGGGACCAGTCCTTAAGAGAAGGATGTCATGCTTGGGAGGGTAGAGGGACAGCACAAGAGAGGGAGACCCTCGATGAGATGGATTGATTCAGTGACTGGGGTCATGGGGGTGGGTGTGTCAGAGACAATAAGGTTGGCCCAGGATAGAGCAGGGTTCAGAGCTCTTGTACACAGTCACTATGAGTCGCAGGTGATTTGACAGCACGAAAGAACAACCACCACCCTAATGATATTAAAGATACTGTGCCAAACTAATAAACAAATATATCTTCGAGAGGGTGCAGCCGGAGTGCTCTTTGGAGGCAAACATGAGGAGGCTTTGTCTCACCTACTGTGCGCTTGCTGCTAGGAGGGGCTTCTTCCCTGGAGAGGGACATGGAGCCTGGAAGGGTGGAGGGTCGGCGAAGGAGAGAAAGATCCTCAGCCAGGTGGATTGACGTGGTGACCACCGTGATGGGCTTTGGGGGGTCAGGAAGTGTAAAGATGGCGCAGGACAGGACGGGGTTCAGGTCTGTTGTTTATATGGTCTCTATGAGTCTTACTAGACTTGACAGCGTGTAACAACTAAAAACAACAACTCTAATGATTTTAGACCTTACCCCCCCCCCCAACCTTGGGGCCACTGTCACTAGAAAGTATTTTGAAAAAGGAACATAGAACCAAATATGAGTCTCAAGATACAGTTTACTAAGTAACAGAACATAGTTGGATGTCACGGTTTGAATTATGCCCCTCTGCCCTGCCCCCAAATTATATCCACTAGGCTGGACAATGATTCTCAGTTGTTCAGCTGGTATGGGATCACTTTCCTTTGATGTAATTATCCCGTATCGTCTCTGGTTTAAGGGAATTAAAGTGCGATTGTTGTTGTTTTGTTCCATTGAGTTGGAACTGACCCGTAGCTGACCTTCCAGCCAGTTTTCAGAGGCACTAAATTGCACTAAATCTCCCTCTCTCACAGAGCGGCTGGTGGATTCGAACCACATGCCTTTGTGTTGACAGCCCAGTTCCTTACTAAGCCGCTAGAGTTTGGATCATACCCCTGATCCCGTGTAAGGGAAGTTTCCCTGGGGTGTGTGCCCTGCATCACTTTTTATCTTGATCAGTTCAACCTGAAGCTTCCCCGTGGCCAAACCAAAGAGGGAAATCTGCCCAGTTACAGGGCGACGTGACTAAAAAAAAAAATACACACACACACATATATATATATATATACCCCTTGTTCCCCAGGGGCACAGCTTTTCTCCTAAACTGAGAGGAAGGTCCCTTTTCCTGTACTTGTATAGAGATGATTCCTGTGTCCAGAAGGGGCAGTGACAAGGGCAAGTGACGCTTGAAGGACAACATTAAGTTTTCCTTTAAACTTTAGTATGAGGCATTAGGAATTCTTGGCTAAACTGAGTCTTTAATCCACGTCTCCTTGCTCTTAGTCCGGGATTATGGACACAGTTAAGTATGATTTCAAGGCTGTTGTATTTTACGGAATTTATGTTCTTATCTGTAAAATGAGACTGTTAAGGGGAGCTCTGGTGGCCTAGTGGCAAGAAGCTGCAACTGCAATCCCAGAGGTGCACAGTTCGAATCCACCAGATGCTCTGCCGGGGAAGGAGGGGCAATCTCCTCCTGTACCAGTCAGATCTGATTTGACGGTACACACACACACACAAATAATAAAATAAAAAAAAAATGAGACTGTTAGATCGGGTCAGGTTCTTTTCTACCTTTGAAAGCAATCTATGAGGGGAGCTCTGGTGGCCTAGTGGCAAGAAGCTGCACTGCAATCCCAGAGGAACACGGTTCGAATCCACCAGATGCTCTGCCGGAGAAGGAGGCGCAATATCCTCCTGTACCAGGCAGATCTGATTTGACGGTACACGCACACAAAATAAAAAAAAAAAAAATTTAAAAAAAAAAGAAAGCAATCTATGTTGGGAGAACTATTTAATTTCATCCACAACTGACCATTCAATCAATCCAAATAAAATGAGCCTGAAACCTTAGAGATTAATTACAGCAGGGAAAAGGGGGATTTAGTTAACGGCATTCTTCCTAATCCTGGAGAATTTCAGGAAGTGTATGTTTGTTTCTGGAAGATTCCTGATGGTACTCATTTTGTAGTGTTTGTGTCGTGCTTAACTGGTTTGTGAACAGTCCTAGTTGGCATTTCAGGAAGCCTCCCAGGAATAGCACACTTTCCTCACATTTATTACTTTTCTCTAGGTTTCGTTTTCTGGACTCTTCCTTATTCAAGAAAGAATCATCAGAAAAAGAGCAGGGTATGGAAGGCCAGTTGCCACCTGCCCAGTCCAGGGTGAGTCGGATGTGTCTTCACTGTTTTCTGATCTCTTTTTTGCCTAAGTCTTGAAATTTCCTTGCTCAAGAAGTTGTAGCTCAGATTCCTATGTCGTTCCTCTGCAGAGTGAACAGGAGATTCAAACCCCCGGCCTTTCTGTTTGCAGCTAAGGACTTTAACCACTTCATCACTGTTGTTGTTAGATGTTGTTGAGTCATATGACTGATGATAATCGTTTTATGTGCTGTCGAGTCGCCTGCGACTCATAGCAACCCTGTGTACATTAGCTCTGAAGCCTGCCCTGTCCTGTGCCAGTCTCACTGACTCCGACACACTTACCCCATTGCCGCGGTTACTCTGATAGTATCTCTCATTCAGGGTCTCCCTCTCCTGCACTGTCCTTCCACCCTTCCTAACATGATGTTTCCAGGGACCAGTCCCTCCTGGCCATGTGCCCAAAGTATATCAGACGGAGCTTCAAAATCCTAGCCTCCAAGGAGAAACTTGATTTCACGCTCTCTAAGACAGACCTATTTGTTTTCTTGGTGGTCCATGGTATGTTCAGGACTCTTCTCCAGCACCACAACTTGAATGCATCGATTCTTCTGTCATATTTAGTCATTGTCCAGCTCTCTGATGCATAGCAAGTAATTATGAAGACCGTGGCCCGGATCAGGCGCACCTTAGTCTCTAGACTGACATCATTGCTTCTCTGTACTCTGGAGAGGTCCCTGACTGATAGGACTGATAACAACCCTCTTAACAACTGGTGAGAGCCTTGCCCTATCCTGTCCCATCCTCCTCATCTCTGCTGTTCCTGCAGTCAGTGTCAGTCCGTCTCGTTGAAGGTCTTCCTCTCTCGCACTGACCCTGCATCTTGCCACACATGACGTCTTTATCCAAGAACTGGCCTCTCTGAACAGTACGTGAGACAGTGCTTGACCTCCCTTACCTGTAAGGAAGGAGCACTCTGGCTGCGCTTTCTCTGAGACATACCTGTTTGGTCTTTTGGCGGTCCACAGGATATTCCGTATTATTCTCCAACACTGTACATACGTTGAAGGCGTCAATTCTTCTTCTGTCCTTCTTACTCAATTTGCAGCTCTCAGATGCCTAGCAAGTAACTGAAAAGACGATGGCCTGAATCAGGTGCACCTTACTCTCTAAACTGACTTCATTGCTTCTAATGGAGACATCCTCGGCAGCAGATTTTCCTGATACATTTTTTATTTCTTGACTGCAGATACTCAAGGTGTTGATTGTAGATCCAAGTAAGGTGAAATCGTTGACAGTTTCAATTTTTTTCCTCCATCTAACTGCCAGAAGTCCAGGCTGGGTTTAGAAGGGGTCGTGGTACTAGGGATATTGTAGCTGATGTTAGATGGATCTTAGCTGAAAGCAGAGAATACCAGAAGAATGTCTATCTGTGTTTCATTGGTTATGCAAAGGCATTTGACTTTGTGGATCATAATAAACTGTGGCTGACTCTGAGAAGAATGGGAATCCCAGAACATTTAATCGTGCTAATGTGAAACCTATACTTGGACCAGGAGGCAGTTGTCAGAACAGAGCAGGGCAACACTGCATGGTTCAAAATTGAGAAGGGTGTACGCCAGGGATGTGTCCTATCTCCATACCTTTTCAACATGTATACAGAGCAGATTATCCGAGAGGCTGGGCTCTATGAGGAGAAGCGTGGCGTTAGGATTGGTGGAAGATCTATCAACAATCTGCGTTATGCAGATGACACAACCCTGTCTGCTGAAACTGAAGAGGACCTCATGCACTTACTACAGAGGGTCAAGGACTGCAGCCTTCAGTATGGACTGAGGCTTCAGTATGGACGTCAAGAAGACAAAGATTCTCGCCACTGGACCAATTGGCAGCATCAGGATGGATGGCGAAGAGATTGAGATTGTTCACAGCTTCAGTTTGCTCGGCTCCACGTTCAACACTCTTGGCACCAGCAGCCAGGAAATAAAAAAACATATTGCGATGAGAAAGTCTGCGGTTAGGGACCTCTCTAAAGTACTCAACAGCAATGGTGTCTCTCTGGAGACTAAGGTCTGCCTGATACAGGCCATGGTCTTTGCAATCACTTGTTATACATCAGAGAGTTGGACAATGACTAGGGAGGATAGAAGGAGAATTGACGCCTTTAAGCTGTGGTGCTGGAGAAAAGTGTTGAATGTTCCATGGACTACCAAGAAAACAAACAGATCCATCCTAGAGAGGGTTAAACCAGGCTACTTCTTGGAGGCAAGGATTCTGGGGCTTCGTCTGACATACTTTGGACATGTTGTAAGGAGAGACAGACAGGTCCTTGGAGAGGGACATCATGCTTGGTAGGGTAGAGGGACAGCGCAGGAGGGGAAGACCCTCTATGAGGTGGATTGATTCAGTGACTGAGGTAATCGAGATGGGTGTGTCAGAGGCCATGCGATTGGCACAGGATAGAGCAGGGTTTAGGGCTGTTGTACATAGGGTCGCTATGAGTCACAAACAACTCCACGGCACGTAACAACAACAACAACAACAACATCATGATGTTCAATGTTTGGAAGCAGGAGTGGCATCCACTTCCTAAACAACATGCCTCTGGAAACATCTATGAACTTTGATAAATGATGGTAGTTATAGTAAGGCTTCAGGCCTTTTGTTCATAGGGTCGCTATGAGTCATGCTTGACTCGACAGCAGTCAACAACAACGACATCATGATGTTAACCTCTTAGTGATGAGGATGTTTGTGTTCTTGATGTTGAGATATAATTGAAGGCTGTTTTCTTTGACCTTCTGCACCCAGCAGATTTTATCCTATTTCCAGACAGAGGAAAAGATTGAAAGAATACAAATGTGAGTCAGTAGGACAGCACGGCCTCTTTCTCTGCCTGGGGCACTTCTTTATCTGTCATAGCTGAGATCCTGGCTCCCCTTCCAGCCTCTTCCTCTGCTTCCTAGATTTCATTTCCTAGAAGTATTCTTTTCATTGCTCACCAGTCTTACTCAGGTTCAAGAGTTCCTTGCCTTCTCTCCGTTAGTGGACTGGCAATCCAGGAAAACTGTTATCCCTGATTGATTACACTTGGATTTCCCTCAGTGGTGCCTTAAAATGGAAAAGCTAGCAATCTTGTGCCCCTTGAGGGCTCTGGTGTCTCCTGCCCATTGTGTAGATGTCCATGGGGAGTGTCTGTTGAAGGAACTCAAGGGATCAGTTATCAGAGGACTGTTCTTACAGATGATGAAGTATTTGAAGGTACACAGGATATGTGTAAGGATCCTCGGCTGTCCTGAGATGAGTTTGTAGCCAATCTGCAGGCATGAAGCCTTTGGGAGAGCGATGCTCTCTTGTTGTAATAGCGATGTTATTTTTCTCATTAACAGTGTAAGGTGACATAGTGGAATGTTGGAAGAGGGACATGGTTTGCAATAGTTGTAGAAAGTGGGGGAAATGATCTTTAAAAGCAAACATGAAGAAGACTGCTTTGCGGAACAGAGGCCTTGCATCTGTATTGCAATTGTATTACAAGTACTAAGATGAAGTCTTTCAACGGCTCTGTTTCTATCCCTGGTGATGCCTGTGAAAAAGTTTGGGTTATTATTTGAATGTATGTATTTTAGGTTTAAAATATGGCTGGGAACGTCTCTTAAGCATTTTATCTTTAAACTGTTACGGACCACAAGACTCTCTTCCCTCTTTCCCTGCCTTCGTTTCACATACTTCGATTGTTGTTATGTGTCATCGAGTCCCTTGCAACTCATAGTGACCCTGTGTACAAGAGCCCTAAACCTTGCTCTATCCCGTGCCAACCTCACTATATCTCTGACACACCTACTCCCATTACCCCAATCGCTGATTAAAGTGTTCATATTCTCTGTGACAGCTGTTTATAACAAACTTGATTTGAATAAAGGTACCTCGGGCAATTTTTACATCTAAACCGCAGCCTGGAAATTGCTTTTTTAAATTTATTTATTATTATTATTATTATTAATTTTATTGAATGTTTACAGAAATTTTGGATTTCCATTCATTCATTGTTGCATTTTTTCTCTGCCCACCCTTACCCCCCAGAGCACTCTTCTCTTTGAAAAGCAAAAGAAAAATTCTTTCATTGTTATACAATCCTCCCGCCCCGAGTACACTCCACTATGCAGTCCTGGGAACCTGATGGAATAGATTCTCTAACAGTGAATTTGGAAGCTGTGGATTCTTAAATTCTCCTGTGTTCTCTGTCATTATTTCTGTGCCATTGGCCTGGTGCTTCTTGCTGTAAATGTTCCATTTAGAAAGAGCAGAGGTGGACATCTGACTCAGGATTTGTTGCACGTTTTAGACACTGGTGACCTTCAAGGATGTACTTGTGGACTTCACCAGAGAGGAGTGGAGGCTCCTGAGCACTGCCCAGCAGATCATGTACAAGCATGTGATGCTCGAGAACTATAAGAACCTGCTTTCTCTGGGTAAGAGTCCCTTCTGGTTTTGTGGGAAGAATATTTGCTGCGTAGACTTTGATTCTTTGTCGATGCAGGTCAGGCTTTGAAGCATCTGTCAGAGCTTAGGTTTGGGACTTAAAGACCTCTTTTCATTGGAACAGAAGTAAGTGGGTTTTTAAACTCCTGCTTTGACAGGAGCTCTGCTTTCAGGGAGGAAGATGCTTGTCTTCTCCCGTGCCCCTTCCAGCCCCTGAAAATCCACTGGGAGTCAGCTCTATTTTGGTCCCAGCGTTTGAGGGCTTTTTTTCTGCTTTTATGGTGGGGAAAAAAGTTTTCCTTTCCAGATTATTTTTTTCGTTTCTTTTCTGTGGGCTGGAAGGTAAATGAATGGAGAGAAATGCTTCCTACCCATCATTTTCCTTAACCCAACTCTATGTCTCAAAGTTTAATAAACCCTTTGTAAAATGTTTAAAGTATGTATTTCTATTGTTGCTTCTGAACGCTCCTTAGTCTGTGAAAACCAAGGAGTTGAGGTTGACTCTGGGGTGTCACTTTGCCTGCAGCCCAGACTCCCTCAACTCACATAAATTCTTGGCTTTTTTCCTGTGTCAAGGGCATCACTTTCCCAAACCAGACGTGATCCTCCGCTTGGAAAAAGGTGAAGAGCCATGGCTGGTGGAGATTTACCAAGAGGCCTTTTCAGGTGAGAACCAGGCACGAATTGGTGTGGGTAGGAGCCCCTGCCAGGAGACTAGGCAGGGGTTAGAACTTCTGGACATAGTGGTTGGGGTTAGCCAGCTCTCCTTGCAGGCATAGATTTCTGAAAAGCTTGATTTTCTTTTTATCTCCACTTTACTCATTTCCAGTCTGTAGTCTTCTATTAGTGTTCAGAGACAACAGTCTTCTTTTTTTTTTTAAAAAAAAAATCATTTCTGCTTTGGGACCATACGTGCGAAAAAATACACACAGTTCAGTGAGATTTTTCTATGTGCATTGACATCGATTACATTGTTTGACTTGCAGCAACTGTTATCACCCTCCTTTGCCAAGTTGTCTTCTCCTGTTAAGAAAAACTCACAGCTCTCAGGTTTCTGTTTGCTTTTGTTTTTTTTAAATTTATTTACTTGGTTTTTTAAATTTTTATTAATTTTTGTGTGTGTACTGTCAAATCGGATCTGACTGGTACAGGAGGAGATTGTCCCTCCTTCTCCAGCAGAGCATCTGGTGGATTCGAACCTCATACCCCTGGGATTGCAGTGCAGCTTCTTGCCACTAGGCCACCAGCGCCCCCTTCGGGTTTCTGTTAACACTTTCAAGTTGCCCTCATCAGATGGTTCTCCTGTAGATAGATCTTAAAAGAGCGTCTTGAGCTGGTTCTCGAAAGAAGCAAAACCAGTGAAGCTTTCATATATATAAAAAAATACCCAAAAACCCTCTTAAACTCATTTGAGGAGCTGGTTGTTAAGAGAAGTAAAACCAGTGAAGCTTTTATATATATTTTAAAAAAACAAAACACCACCCCAAAACCAACCCCTCAAGCTCTTTGCTGTGGAATCAGAACCGACTCATAGCTGAATCTCCATTGAGCGAGATTTCCTTTAACTGTTACCTCCACCCCCTGTTAGAGGTTCATCTCACTTACTGCGCAGTCTCCTGGCTGTTCTTCCTCTCTCTCCCTTGTGACTTTTGCTCACCCCAAAGCATTTTCTGTTCCTTGCTTTCCTTTTCATAATAATCTGTATCCAGGTGACAAAACCATGTTTGAGGGCAGCTCTTGCACACTTTGTCTCTGCACCGTATATTTCACGATTTAATACATTCGGTAGTTATTCAGCCCTTATTACTATTTTCTTTCCGATTCAGAGTCTCCAGCCGAAAGGAAGACATCAGAATCCAGTAAAAGCGCTTTTGAAGATGGACAGCCCTGCAACATTAAAATGGCACGGAGCGACCTTTGGTACTTGTCGTTAGAAGAAGTCTGGGAATGTGAAGACGGGTTGGACAAGTACCAGGGAAACCAGGAGAAGCATTTGAGGCAGGTGGCGTTCACACAAAGGAAGGTTCTTCCCACCGAGGGAGGCGAGGGGAACGGGCTTCTCCCCACGCAGCTGGCGCTGAGGGAATATTTTCAGAAACACGACTCCCATATTAACGGTTTAAAACACAACTTGGTTTTTCACGATCATCAGGAGAGCTGTGCAGGTGGTAACGAACGCGGTCAGACGTTCTGTGAAAACATGCACCTTCCGTTTGCCAGGACCCAGACGGCAGGGAAGCCCTACAAATGCCCTGGCTCCGAGGACCCTTCCCGGGACGTGCTGAAGGGCATCCGCAGGGAGAAGCCCTATGAGTGTCCAGAATGTGGCAAGTTCTTCAGCTGGCGCTCGAACCTCACCAGGCACAAGCTGATCCACACCGGGGAGAAGCCCTTTGCGTGCAAAGAGTGCGGGAAGTCGTTCAGCCGGAGCTCCCATCTCCTGGGACACCAGAAGACCCACACGGGGGAGGAACCCTACGAGTGTAAGGAGTGCGGAAAATGCTTCAGCTGGTTCTCTCACCTCCTCACGCATCAGAGAACTCACACGGGGGACAAACTGTACACTTGTGCCCAGTGCGGCAAAGCCTTCGTTCACAGCTCCAGGCTGATCCGGCACCAGCGGACCCACACGGGTGAGAAACCCTACGAGTGCCCCGAGTGCGGCAAGTCCTTCAGGCAGAGCACGCACCTCATTCTGCACCAGCGCACGCACGTCAGGGTCCGGCCCTACGAGTGTACCGAGTGTGGCAAGTCTTACAGCCAGCGGTCTCACCTGGTCGTGCACCACCGGACTCACACTGGCCTGAAACCCTTCGAGTGCAAAGACTGCGGGAAGTGCTTCAGTCGCAGCTCACACCTCTTCTCTCATCAGAGAACCCACACCGGGGAAAAGCCCTACGAATGCCGCGACTGTGGGAAATCCTTCAGCCAGAGCTCTGCCCTCATTGTGCATCAGAGAATCCATACTGGAGAGAAGCCCTACGAGTGTGGGCAGTGTGGCAAAGCCTTCATCCGCAAGAACGACCTCATTAAGCATCAGAGGGTTCATAGTGGAGAGATGACGCTGAAATGTAATCGGTGTGGACTCCTCTTCAGCCAGACCTCTCCGCTCATAGTGCATCAGATAGACCACACTGGAGAGAGATTCTTAACCTGTCATAGGTGTGGGACAGTGCTTGTTAATACCTCCAACCCTGCGCGGTACTAGATGAGCCATATCGGAGGCGGCTCTCGTGGACGTGAGTGTGAAGAGCAGTAACCTTATGTTGCAACAGAACCATTAGAAGTTAGAGAGCTGTATAAATGGAATCCCAACAAATGTATGATAGTGTTACTCCCCCAGCTATACACCAGAACACATCCTGGGGTCAGACCCAATCTTGCAAGTTAAAAGTTCATAAACGACCTTGGATTTTCATAAATGACCTTGGGTTTTCACCTTCCTACCAATTTCTGACCAAAGGAATTGACCTAGAAGCATTCTTGATGCTTGGCATTTTCGAAGGAGTCCCCAAGTTGGTGACTTGCTGTCCAGGGTGACCCAGTCTTCATTACCTCATCAGAAAGATGAATGAGAATGTTACCATTGTTAGGACGCCCAGCAGCCTTCCGTACCACAGGTTGAAGCCTGCCCAGTCCTCTGCCGTCCACGCGAGCTCCGCTGTGCCCAGGCCCCTTGTTGCAGTCACCTCATTGAGTGTCTTCCTCTTACCCCCAGCTAAGCACAGTGCCCTCCTTCGGGGAACGGTCCCTCCTGAGGCCAAGCCCAGAGAGTGAGAGACAGTCTCACTATCTTGGCTCCCAACCATCTGCCTGCACTTCTGCTAAAACAAGAGTTGTTCTTCCGGCAGTTCATGGCACATTCGGGGTTCCCTGTCAACGTTACAGCCCAAAGGCATCACTTCTCTGGTCTTCCTTGTTCATTGTCCACATTTCACAGTGTTAATTGTGGGAAGCGTTACTGCTGAGAAAAGTAAAAAAAAATATATATAGGTAGAACCACAAGATCGAGATAGTACTCCAGATACGGAGTTAGAATGACATCGTTTAACTGACTTTCTTTCTCCTCTTAGACATGGAGTGATTTTTAATGTTTTATGTGTCTGATAATAACTCCAGTTTCCTTTCTAGGAAAAATGCTGACAATGCAGAGTGGTTTAAAAGATTAATAACATTTCCACTATTATTAGCAATTTGAATTTTTAGGAACAATTTGCATGTGGGCAAGAATTGAAAAGAATGTCTATATAATATAAAGTGAAGAAAATGTTTTTTTTTTTCCTTTTTCAGTAATGGCATGATGACTGCGTTTCCATTTATGGGTTCTTCTAGATTGTTAACAGTCTCATTTTCTGGATATTGAAAGGAAATAGGGCCACTAAAGGAAACTCTGGCTATTTCAAGGTCATGCACTTAGAGCATGTGTACCCATGGGATAAACACAGCACTATTTGAAGTCGTCCTTCATAAGGTGGTCTTTTATCTTAAGAGCATAGACTGAGCAAGAATAGCCAGGTTCAGAATCCCACCCAAGTCTCCCTGACTAAGGGACGTTGGACATATATATCACTTAGTCCTTTTTTGCCTGATTCACAGATACCCTTCTCTGTATAGGGGCAAAACCAATACTTACCACATAGGGTTGTGGTATTTAATAAGTGAACATGTAACTAAATTAGAATAGCGCCTGACAGTGTATTAAGAGCTTTATAATTATTAGCTGTAATCACAAGTTATTACTATTATTACCCTGCCTCATATCTCTCCATTGAAGTCTGAGTTCTTGGAAGAACTCAGTGAGTTCTTGGAAGAACTCAGTGAGTTCTCCCTCCTTTTCTCATTTGCCTAAATTTTTACCTAAATCAAGACATAGCAGCCTGGGGAAATCACTGGACCATAGTAGATGTGCGGGTTCATTTCCAAGTTCAAAAAAATCATTTTTCCTCTGTGTGCCGAGTTCTTCCATGCGTGCAAGGGTGACGCCTTCTATCAAGAGGATCCTAACCTTGTGACACCAGTAAGTCCGTGGGACGTTAAAGAGGTGCAGGAAGAGGGTGGCTTTTAACTTTCCATTTCATTCTGTGAATGGGTATGGATGGACCGGTCATTTTCTGATACATCCAGTAGACACTCAGTTGCTGAATGATACAAGAATAATGAATCCGGTAGACAGAAATCATGGTGTAGCTCTGAGTCCAGGTCAAGAAGTGTTCGTGAGAATCAGGAGACTTAAAGAGTCTGCTCAGACCTTCTGTTAGGCAGTGATTCAATGAGTTGGTCCAGGTCTTTCACAGTGAAGGAAGTGAGATCTCAGGTCCTCTGTCAGTGCTTACGTGCCGTCCACATACATGGCACAGGCCTAGCAGAGGTAGACCGTTCATAGACTGTTCATTGTAGGCAGTGGTTCTTTGTGGAGTAAGAGTAGCTTTTTCCTTGGTCCTCTCAATTTCTGCTCGCTTGTTTCTTCAACTGTACTATGAGGACACAGGTGCTATACAGGGAACCCTGGTGGCTTCGTGAGAAAGAGTTGAGCTGCCAATGCCAAGAAACACATCTTGAATCCACCAGCTGCTCTGTGAAAGATGGGCAGTCTCCCCTTCCCTGCCATTCACTGCCTCAGAAACCCCCCAGAGGGTCCACTGTGAGTCAGTTCCAGCTGGACAGGACTCAGCAACACCACTAGTATCTAGAGCTCCCGAGTGGACAAGTTATGCTGCCAACCCAAAGGTAAGCTGTTCGAAGCCACCAGCCGCTCCATGGGAGAAAGATGCTACTCTCTCCTGTCATGTGATTTTCAGCCTCGGAAAACTCACTGGAGGCTCAGCTGTGAGTTGGTTCCAGCTTGACGGCAATGAGTTGGGTTGATTTGACTAGTATCTACCTCATAGGGTTACTGTGGGGATTAAGTGAAATAATGTGTGTGGAGCACTTAAAACAGTGCCTGGCACTGCTGTTTGTTATTTACATCCTATTTACACCTTTGTAGTGATGTGGACAGAGATAGTTAGTTGTGCACATGTTCTTAAAAGGCACATTAGCATAATTGTTATTTGTGACATACCCATGTAATGGAATATCACGGAAACTTCAGAAATTAGGCTCACAGCAGCACTTATACTAAAATTGGAACAATACAAATATCAGCATGGCCCTGTGTAAGGGTAACACACAAATCTGTGAAGCGTTCCCTATTTTTTTTTAATATATATCTCTGTTCACAGAAAGGTTGGTGACAGGAAAAATGTTGTGTTGTCATTTGTTAAAGAACTGTAAATCTGGAGTAAAATATGTAAAAATAAATTTTTAAAAAATTCAACAGTATTTTAGCATTAATTAACCTATAAATTGAGATAACTGAAATTATGTTTCTCATTGTTTATACTTATTTTAACTAGTCTCTTAAAGATTACACTTTAATGCCAAGGAAGATCATCTCTTGATCATTGAATGATGGAATTTCCCAAGGTAAAATCCAAAATAAAGCAAACACTTAAGCATTAGGATATAAGATTATATAAAAATTATTTTTATCCCTATCTACTAGTAGTCTTAAAAGTAGATCATGAAATCACACAGTAACATTACAGTGGCATGCAAAACTTGAAACTTAGCAGTGAATTTTTAGTGAAGTCTGTAATAGCATCTGCACCCTGAAAATGAAAACCTTGCCAAAAGAAATTAAGAACTCAGTATACATGGTCAACACTTTACACGTTGCCGCACAATTTTAATTGACAACCGTCCTCAGAAACACATTTTAATTTATTCTTTTTTATGTGTGTATTGTCAAATTGGATCTGACTGGTACAGGAGGCGATTGTCCCTCCTTCAGCAGAGCATCTGGTGGATTTGAACCACGCACCTCTGGGATTGCAGTGCAGTTTCCTGCCACTAGGCCACCAGAGCTCGCCGGAAACACATTTTTTACCATCATTTGAGGCATTTAAGGAAGAGATCCACCATGCTGTAGGGTGGGAAGATGCACTTTGTTAAACAATTCATGAATGAACCTTTAGATTTCATTTTCACTCCAAAATTCCTCAGACTTGTGTAGGAAAATTTTAAGACCTCCTTGATTTGAATTTTAAATCTAAGTATAAATAACCTAGAATTACCAGTATTTAAAAAGGATAGTTACACTGCCTCCTTTTCCAAACTCACTGGAAAACTATGCTAGGACTCTGGGGGCCTAATGGGTAAGGATTTGCACTGCCAACACAAAGGCAGCTGTTTCAAATCCACCTGCTTCCCAAATAGAAAAAGATGTAAGTTCATCTTAATGATTTATAGCCACTGAAACCCTCTAAGAGGGTCAGCTATGCACTGCTTCGGGCTCAGTGGCAGACACCACCAGCGTTATCATGAATCTTAACATCATTGGAACCGAGAACAAGTCCAGAAACAGACTTGATCATATACTGTCAGGAGTTCCAACAATATCACTCAAGGAACGTCTGTAGAAAGGATGTTTTCAACCAAGAGTACTCTAATCACTGTTTTATTGAGGTGTGGTGGCAGTTGTTAGGTGTCATTCAAAACTACTACTCTTAGCGACCCTGTGAACGTCTGTCAGCTGGGTGACTATATAATCTGTGGCGGGAATTCAAGGTGAAACGAGGTGAATTTGAACTTGGTGGCATGAAATGAAGTAGATAAATTCTACATGTAGTAAAGGAAGTAGTCTTGGTGAGGAAGATGTGAGGAAGGACTAAGAGGTTGAGGGGCAGAGTGCTCAGGCCTAGATGTCCACCTGGGAGACAGCTAGGATTCTGACAGGCTGCATGGTAAATTGGGATTGCAGGGACAGGGCCAGAAAATGGTAATTCAGATAATAAACTCCATCCAAAAGGATACAATTTAAAAAAGTAAAAGTGTATGAAGCCAATGAGACTTACGAGGTTTTGGCAGCTCATTAGAAAATTCATCTAAAAATTAAAACAGGTTATGTCCACTGATAAAAGGGTTGTCTAATTTTGGGACATGGAATAGAAAACAGTGCTGCTGACAGGTAAAGGTTTTAATACCCCATCTGAGGAATTAGGATTTGAGGCAGTGGCTTATCCCAACTCCCTATCACCCCAGGATTGCTTTCTTTTTGAAGCTTGCAGTTTGAATCCACCAGCAATCTCCTCCTGGATGAGTCAGATCGGATTTGATGGTACACGCACACAATAAAAGTTAAAAAAAAAAAAAAAAATGACCTTTGACTCTCTAATCCAACATCTCCAACAACAATAAAAGTTAAAAAAAAAAAAAAACAACCAAGAAAACAAAAAACAAATCCAACAACAAACTTTTCATTCCATGCTCTCCCACATCTTTTTCAATCGTATGTGCAGACATAGTGATGTTACCTGTTTTATATGCTAAGAAGGTGCCCTGCTGATGTGGCACTGAAAGGTTGGCAGTTTGAAACCACCAATTCCATAGGAGCTCATTATGAAAACAGGTTAAGAAAGTAATTTTGCCACAGTTCCCTGCACACGTTAGCAGAGCTTTGTTCAGGGATCACTGGTGACATGCCACTGTTTTACATGGAGAGCTGGAAACAGTCTAGGGATCAGCTGAACTTGGGACACCAATTTGTGAGGCTAAGTCCCTTTCATTGCTGAGGGAGAGAATAAATACCAGGATGATTGATGCCAGTGGTGGGATTAAGGGTGACCCCTAGCCCAAAAGCCCATGAAAAGGAATCCCCCAAAAGCAGAAATACTAACCCCCACCCTCCCATTCCTCCTCGTCAAGGTAAAAAAATAAAAATGCCATTACCCTACTACTCAGCCTACCAATGAAAACAAATCACACAAGGTAATCATACTCTAAACATTATTTAATTAGGTCTACAATAATCTAGAAAACCAATTTGTGAGGATAAACCCCATTGGTGAGGGAGAATAAAGAACGCAGGTAGCTTTTGAGCTGAGGAACGGCTTTGATTTTGGGTAAGATCTGGGAGTCCACAGCTTTCTGGTCAATCTTGCGCTGCTCTGTAATCTCGTATTTCTGAAAAGAAAAATGTAACACTTGATAAGCATGTCACAGGGTCCAATTCCTTAGTCCACTAACAAATCCAGTGTCACAAGCCCTCACTTCGAGGAAAATAGTTAAAGGCCAATAGAGGCAACATCCCCTACAGGTTCTAAAACCAGTTTTCTGATTTGCACGTCTCATCAAATCTGATGATGCTGCCTAAAGAACCCAGAAAACAAACAACACACATCTGCCTGGCCTCACCACTGACAGCTTTTCTTGTGGCGTCAGGACACCCAGCCCCAACGCTCAGGGCCTCTTAGGACAGAACAGCCACTCACCTCCTTTTCTGTGTCGAAGATCTCGCCCTCCTGGTGGCGCGGCTTGCGCAGCTTCTTCTTCTTAAAGTAAGCATCAGTGAGGTGCTTTGGTATTTTGACACCACTGATGTCAACTTTTGTGGAGGTGGCAATGACAAATTTCTGGTGTGCTCTCCGCAGAGGAACACGATTGAGGGTCAGAGGCCCTAAGGAAGAAAAATGGGATGAAGGTAAATAATAGTCAAGGGCTGACTCTGAGCAGGCACAAAGGATGCATTTGGGGAAAATCAGCGCTCGAATCCACCAGTATGTTTTTTTTTGAAGCTGGGGGTGGGGAGGAGCTCCAAACTGTTCTTACTACTCCCAGCAGAGACTTAACTCAGGAGCTTTTTGTCCAAGGCCTTCCTCCCTCGTGTCTTTTTAAAGTCACACAGACTGGGGAAAAGCCAATCAAGTAGGCCAGGACCACCTTCTACCCCAAAGTATAAAGAATCTGACTGCTGACTACAAGGCCAACAGTTCAAGCCCACCAGACACTCCATCTCCTATAAAGATGTACTTGGTGATAAAACTGACATGCAAAAAGTAAGCTGGAGAGAACACAGAACCCAAGGATGTTCTTACCGGTCACAAGGAGCAAACCACTCTCCAGCTGCTTCAGGAAAACCACTCTCTGTAAGTTAAACAGAAATGCTAATGTACTCATGTTTCTACAGTTAGAGAACAACTTCGGAACCCACCAAAATACATGTGTGAAAAATGTCTTAACACGCTCAGTTCTGCTCTGTGCAACCGCACACTATAAACAAGGGTAAACTAAGCTGGTCATGACAGCCAGTCATACAAAGGTCATCAGCACAAGGAGAGGAAAGAGTCCCCCCGGAGGACAAGCCAGGGCCTCCAATGCCGCAGGCAGAAGCAGGGGCTCGTGCTCACCTTGCCCCGGTGGCGCCCTGTGAGGATGATAAGGATGGTCCCAGGGGTGATGCTTGCACGCAGCCTCCTCACGTGCTGACTGAAGGGCTTCTTGCCGTGGTTCAGCAGCTTCCGAGGCACGTCTTCAGTAGGGTAGTACCTGGGCTGGAGGGAGGGAGACCACCAAGGTACTTAATAGCCACCAGAGAAAGCAGAGTTCAACGTCTGGCACGTAAACCTTTGCCCCAACATTCTAATAGAAATATTATGCTATTTGTTTACTCAAATGCATTTATTCCCCCATTAGAGAAAAGTCAGAAAGCACCGCATGAGGAACCTTCGTGAACCTGTTAAGTTCAAGTTTGGCCAACATCACTGCTACTATTGTTTGGTAGTTAACGTCTCTTTCCTGAGCCCTCTAACAATATTAAACAATAGCCATTCAGAAAAACCACCAGCATACCGACTTTGTTATGAAGAACTACACAAAACATGGCTCACATGTTAAAGACAAAGAACCACCCGAACCAATTAGCAGGCCCCAAAGACCAGGCCAACCAAACTCATCCTTGAGTGGAAGCACACTTAAATGACCCTCCCACTGGGCTTCTGAGGCTGCAAACGCCACCACGTGCGTCTTCCATGTAGCTGCTGGTGGATTCGAACCCCCAACAAGTTTGCAATGACTGTACAGCTCCCTACGGACGGCAGCACCAGAACTCAGGACCAGGCACTTAGAGAAAACTGGCATCACGAAAACAGTCCTCCCCACGCTCCCGCAGGAGAGCTCAGCCCAGTCTCTCCAGAGCCAGGCGAGCCAAGTGCCACCTCCCTTCCCCTCTTCTCCATCTTCAGGGTAAGTGGTTTCTGCTCACCCTCAACATCCCCAAACCAAATGCTCTGTATTCTGGTTAGGAGCACGGGGCTCCTAGTCCGCAGGCAGGACAGCCTGGGCTACCCAAAGGCCATACGCCTCAGAATCCTCCTTTCCAGAGCTCACAAGTGGGGAGGCTGGCATTCAATCCTGCCAGATGCCCCTCACCAAGGCACAGAACCATCAGGATTTGAAAACAAACTAACAAGCCACCTCCCACCCATTGTCATAAATACAAAACGACAAGCAACAAGATAACGATAGCGTGTGGGTCACGAGTGAGCACCTCATGTTAATGAACTGTCTTGTTTTTAGAGTATGAAAGCACATCAATAAAACAAGCCATAGAGTGCCACCCCGCAAAGGTGTGACAATTCTCCTGGTGAGGGGCTTGGAATGTCCGAGGAGAAGGCGCAAACAGGCCCGTCCGTGGGGAGACCCCTGCCCCCATACACTCTAGGGAAGTAATGTTCCCGCGCCAAAACTTGATCCACAGTCACTGTGTTTCTTTTCATTTAACCCTCACACCACCCTGCAAGGCTATCCTTTTATTTGCTTTCTAAGGAGAAAACAGGACACAGAGAAAGAACCTTCTTCAGACCAAGCAACGAGAGCTAGGGCCAAGATGCAAACCCGCTCGGATAAGCCACTGCGCTCCGGACCCTCCCAAAAGCTCAGCACCCCAAATAACCCGACATAGGCCCGCATACCCTTCACCCTCCTCAAATTCTTACCATTTTTCGCAGTTTCACCACTCGGGTACCCCCATTCTTGTCACCACCGACTGGTTTTGTGACAGTAGCAAGAACCTTCTCCTTCTTCTTCTCAACCTACAAGAGGTGGCATTAAGACATCATGGAGCAGACCCAACTTGTGACAGACCGCCCGGCTGAGGGCTCCCTTCTCGTCCCTTACCCTGGATTTGGTGGCCGAGTACTTTCTCTTGTACATGGCCTTCCTGGAATACATGGCCGATCGGGAATACCTGCCGATTCCCCGGACTAAGACAGGGTTGCGGCTGCAGTGAGGTTTCCCCTTCTTGGGGGTTTTGCCTGTGGCCTTGGCTTTCTTAGCTTTGCCACTCGCATCTGCCTTCTTGGCTTCATGCTTGGCCACAGGCTTCTTCTCCTTGGGGTCTGCCTTTTCACCCGCCATCTGCCAATAAAGAAGAAAAAGGTTATGTAAAAACTCATCGGGAGGGGAGCTCTGGTGGCCTAGTGTCAAGAACTGCAACTACAATCCCAGAGGTGCACGGTTCGAATCCACCAGATGCTCTGCCGGGGAAGGAGGGGCAATCTCCTCCTGTACCAGTCAGATCTGATTTGACGGTACACTCACACAAAAATAAAGAAAATTAAAAAAACAAAAACAAAACAAAACAACCTCATCAAAGCAATATTCACATCACATCACCCTCCCCACCAAGGAGCCAGCATCCATCTCAGCTCCCAAGCCCCTTCCCAACCCCCCAAAACACCCAACTTCTCCCTAAACCAGCTTGAGGATCTAGAGATTTCGTAGCCTCGGAAAGTTCTGCCAAATGCTTAGTAGCCCCAAGTCTCTACGCTGTCATTCCCTTCTTATGAAATAAAAAACTTTAAAACTGACTTTAACAATCGTACAACATCAACAGGTCCCTAACCTTGAACGCGCAACCACGCTCTGCTTTTAAGATCAGTGACACATTTAAAAAAAAACTCAGTTTAGGAGACAAGCGTGCTAGTGAAGAAAGGCAAATAAGACAGCCTGCCCAAACGCGGACCCCCCGCAAAAAAAAAAAAAAAGTCAATAAACGCAAAGCCCTAAAAACAGCTTCCGGCCGCGAAGACGAGAAAATCCTATGTGGCCTCCGTTTCAAACATTAACGTGGCGGAGGAAGAACGGCACCGTCTTTGGCCACCAAGGCCCGGGTTCTAGAGCGCGCGCCGCCCGCCTGGCCCCCTCCAGCTGCGCCAGCCTACGGATCCCCGCCGGTCCCCGAATCTCCAGCCCCGGAGGGCGACGAGCGGCCGCAGGTTAGGCGGCACCCACCTCACCCGCTGCAAACACAGAGAAATAAGACGTCTAGAAGGCCTCTTAGCTGGCCACGAGGCTGTCTGACCCTTCTACGTGTCAACTTGGTGCCGTCCTGAGATGGATGGCGACGGATCCACAGCCTGAAAGCACGTCCCGAAAGCAAACACGTCCATTCTTACCTTGCAAGATGGGAAAAAGAACTAAGCAAGCCCCTTCCGGTCTATAAAGGATCACGGGAAGACGTTAGTAGCACTTCCTTCCTGGTGTGGAGCATGCTGGGAAATGTAGTTCTTTTAAAGGGAAGTGGCTGAGTAGTGAGTTAGACGTTGTACTACCAACTCAAAGGCAAAGGGTTCGAATCCACCAGAAATTCTGGTGGGGAAAGATAGTCAATACGGAAAACGTACTGAAGGTCAGCTATGAATTGCTCCTGACTCGACGGCAAAGAGTAAATGAGTGAATTATTTTTGTCTTAAAGTGTCTTCTTTGCCAATGGTCGCCATGACTCATGACGACACCTTGCACAACGTAAGGAAAGACTGCCCATCCCGTGATAGATTTTCTTTTAGACCCGTGTGATCCAAAAGGCTTTCACTGGTTAATTTTCAGACATAGAGTACCAGATTTCTTTCTGTTCAGTATCCTAGCGACATGCTAAGATGGTGGAGGATGAGGCCATGCATTGCCCAGGAGGTCTCCTGTGCTGAAAACAAAAATTCTACCAATAAACCACCAAAGGGCTCAACAATACTTCTGGGGTTCCAAAACAGCTTTACCACATTTTCATTTTGCTTAGTAAAGATACTGGAAAATAATTCACATTAAAAAAAAAAAAAATCTTTCCTGTGAGACCCTAATTGGAAAATTCTCATGGTTACGTTGGTTTAATGCTATCTTTTCTAATCTGAGTATAATCTCAATGGAGGCTGTTCCTTGCTGCTCTGGAGAGATACACCAGTAAAAGAAAAGCAAACAGAGAAACAATTACAAATTATCTCTGCTAGGGACGCTTTGGAGAAGATTTGAATTGATTTTGGTGTTTGGTTTGGATAAATAAACACACAAGTTAGGATGAAAATGGCAATTGGAACAATAAATGCAAAAGATGAAGGCAAGGAAAAGACTACACTACACACAATAGGGGCTGATTCTAAATTGTAATAAAATTAATCACATCAAACAACAGTGATTAATGTTATTAAAACAGTTCTGTGAATGATAGTGTGGAAAAACAATGTGATCTGTAAAGCTCTAAGGTGTGACCAGGATTTTAGGAGGATGAAGAGAACAGGTCACACGGCCTGTTGAAGAGCTGCTTCTTAAAATCAACAATATACTGAAGACAAATTTTTATGAGGAGCACATCAGTGTTCAAGTTCTTAGTTTATTCATTGTAGGAGAGTTCTTCATTTAAGAGATGGTAAGTCATGGTACAAAAATGAAAATTTTGAAGCAATACAGATGTATTAAATCCTAGCTCTGCTATTTACTAGCGCTATTAGCTTAATGAAACGTTATAACCATAATAACAGTTTACTTAAACTCATTGCCACTGAGTGGGTCTGAATCTTAGTGACCTGAGGCCAACACAAAGGCCAATGGTTCAAGTCCACCAACAGCTCTGTGGCAGAAGAATAGACAATCTCCTTCTATGTGATTTACAGTCTTTGAAAACTCACTGGAGGATCAGCTGGGTTGGTTTCCATTCGATGGTAATGAGTGAGATTTTTTTTAAGTAATTTAACGATTGGAAACAGCAGAGGCGCTCGGTTTTTAGGTTAAGGGCATTGCACACTTCGGCACCCGAGCTCCCTAACAATGATAAAGTACATATACAGGCCAGGGGCACTAGTGGCCTAGTCTGCAGAGTTGCGCTGCTCGCCCGGAGGTCACGCTTCCCGAGCAGTTCAAATCCACCAGCAGCTCGGATGATCAAAGATGGGCAGTTCCCTCCCATGCGATTTACATGCAGCCTAGGCAACCCAGGGGCTGGGGGGCGGGGGCTTTGCCGCTGAGTGATGCAGACCAAGCACAGTTCTAAAGCACTTTGCCTATTTAATCCTCCCGGTAACTCTAAGAAACCGAGGGGCAGAATCATTAAGACACTTTCTTAAGGTTGCATACCCAATACATGGAGCAACTGCTTTATGGAATAAAATGAATGACTCTCGATTTTGGTAGCCAGCGCCGTAGTGGAAGAGGTTGCGATTGGTCCGAAAGAGTTCGTCTGACACCGAGCGCAGAGCTCACACCCAACTGTCAAGATTTAAAGAAGGAAGTGAGGCCTCTCTAAGAAGCGAGCGGCGGCTGCTAACTGCAGGCGGACGTCGGGCACCAGCGCCCGCCCGCCTGCCGGCCCGTAAAACACCCTCCGGTGGACTGGAAGCCGGAAGTGGCTGTGGGCGTCGCGCGCGTGACGTCACGGAGGCGCGGGCCGCGTAGGGCGGGGGAGGAGGCGGAGCGAGCGGGGCCGGAGGGGCGGCTGCTTAGTCTCCGCGGTCTCCGGGCCTGGAGGGGGGGTCTGCGCGCGCCCGGCTGGCTCTGCCCCCTCCTCTCTGTCCGGTCCCGAGCGGGGCCTCTCCTGGGCCAGCCTGATGTGACGGGACCCAGCGAAGCCTGAGCAAGCAGCGGGCCCGTGTGCGGAGCCGGAGGGCGGGAGGAACATGACATCGCGGAGGTGAGGCAGCCCCGGGGCCCCCCTCTGCCTGGCTCGGGCCTCGGCTGGGCCCCCATCTTGGTCGTCCGCCCCGCCCGGGAGGGGGCGCCCCGGCCGGATCCCGGCCGCCAGGTTGGGCCGGGCAGACCCTCTCCTTGACGTCCCTGGATCTCGCGGCAGCGGGGGCCTGGCCCTTCCGCGCCCCCACCCCGCGGGTCCCCATTCATTTCCTGCCGCCCGGAGTTCCGGCTCGCGCAGCCCGGGGGATGCCAGCGGGCGAGCCGGGCAGGTAGAGGCGCCGGGGGAGAGTCGAGGACGCCGGCGGCCCGGCTCGGCGCCGCATTCCTGACCCATTGCCTCATGAGAATTGCCTCATGGTGATTCCGAAATAACCCTGCTCGCTCGGGGAGGCTGCTCGGCCGGGACGGCGGAGGGCAGGCGCTGGGCAGTCCCGGGCCCCTGACAGCCCGCTGGCTCCGGCCACTGCCTGCTGCGCCCCTTGGGAGACTTCGCTTTTGACCGAACCCCTGAGCCCCATATATATATATACATAAATATATATATGCCTTTGCATCTCCATTTCCCCCAACTCCTCACGTGCCAGAAATGGAAAAAGTGACTGTATCTGCAGCTATTAGAAGTATTTCCTTCCTCGGCAATCTTCGCTTGGGGAGATCGTGAGCGAAGGGAGCTCTAGCAAGTTAACTCAGGCCTTCACCCCAATCTCACGGCCCCATTTTTTTTAAGAGTCTGGAAACTGAGGCTCACAGTTAACGTCTTGGTAAAGGACGGGATTTGAACCCTAAGCCTGTCTCAACTCCGGATTCATGAGTCATGAGATCCCTTGAAAGCTAAGGCTGATAATAATACTACCTTTAATAGCTAACATCTATTTAGCGCTTCCTCTAAGGGAGCACGAACCTCTACAGCTCTGTGAAACCCTGTTAAGCTTGTATCCCCGTTTTACAGATCAGTAAACTGAGTTTCAGGAGTTAGCTTGCTAAGGTCAGTCACAAAGGCTTGGTGAAGTCAGCATCCGTGCTGTTAACTCACCACGGAGCAATTATTATTTTACAGCTATTGCTAGTCATTTGTCAGTCTTAATTCTGTTGTGAAACAGCAGTGTGACCTATTGTTTTCAGATAGTGACCCTGCTGTTTTCTGCTGCCAGTCTTTGTATATCACGCGCACGTGCAAGGCCCATTGTCTATTCTTCGTGACTGCCTGTGCAGTCTATGGTCACTGTCTTAGATGTTGGCAAAACAGTTACCAGCTGCTGGGGTTATTTGAACGAGATACACTGCAGAATATTAAAACCGTGTCCTGAAAATATACCTGCATGTTAATCATTCATGTATCTGGAAAGAAAAAGGGGAGAAAAGAGAAAACCCGAGCCCTCCTCTTGAGTGAGTGACTTGAATGGGTCCGTTGGCACATGTTAACAGAGCTGGATAATACATAACCGAGTTTCACCAGAAAAGTGTATAGCCTCCAATGGCCCAATTCTTTAGGGACCTTTTAAATAAGACAGTTGCCTATTCTTTAATCTGCCAAATAGTCATTGAGCCTTTTGTGCTTTGGGTCTGCTTTTTCCAGACAAGTAAAGATCTGCTTCTTTAGAAGACAAAAAGACGGGAGGGTGGGGGTGGGGAGAGGGGCCCCTCACTAATAGACACTACATTGTCCAGTCTACGGATTTAGCAGCACAAAAGTGTGGGTATTGCCAAGCCAGCAAGTGGTAAGGATGACACTTTGGAAGGGAGTTATTTCGCCTCCCCTCCTCCAGCTCTGATAATCATTGCTCACCTATTAGGGGATAGAAGGAGCTCAGGTGGTGGAGTGTGCTGCATTGCTAACCAAAATGTCAGGGGTTCGAAACCATCAGCTGGTCCAGGGGAGAAAGAGGGGCAGCCTTCTGTAAAGCCGTTACCTGCTACGAGGGTCACAGTGAGTTAGAATTGACTCAGTGGGAGAGGTTTTTCAGTGGGTGTTATGGATACAGAAAGAAAATGTGAACTCCTTGAGAATTCATATTATGAAAACAGTCTCCATACATCTTTAGGAATGATTTACTCCCCGTTTTTATAGTTTTTTTTATTGGTCCCCTCAATTTTTTTAAAGTAATTTTTTTAAAAAATTTTATTATTTCTTATGCGTGTACTGTCAAATGGGATCTGACCAGTACAGGAGGAGATTGTCCCTCTTTCTCGAGCAGAACATCTGGTAGATTCGAACCGTGAGCCTCTGGGGCTTTCAGTGCAGCTTCCTGCCACTAGGACACCAGAGCTCCCCCCAGTTTTTAAAAATTATTATTTGAGTTAAAGTTTACCAAGTATATTGGTTTTCTATTGAACCGTTGACAGTTTGTTTGAGGACATTGGTTGTAATATCTACAGCATAACCATATTCATCCAATTTCTTCCCTGTGATTTCTCATTTTCATAACTCCTACTGTCCTGACCCCTCTCTGTTTTCGGGCGCTGCTCTTTGGACGGTACAAACTTGGTTATGCTAAGGAACTTGGTGTTACTGGTCACCTTAAAGACCTGTCTGTTGTTTAATGGAAAGTTGAGCCAGGGAGTGAATTTTTTTTTGGGATTTGAAGCGTGACTTAAGCGCCATAGTTAGGAGAGTTCAGTCAGTTTCTGTCAGACCAACAAGCCTGTCCGTTTTGTGTGTATGTTTTGTTTTGTCCCACATTTCCCCTGCTCTGTCCAGGATCCATCCAACTGTGACCCCTTTCTGAGTGGTCAGCAGGGGGAGCCAGGGTCTTAGGGTTGCGGAAGTTGTGGTCCATTAGTCCAGTTGTTTCTGTACATCTTTGCTCTTCTTAATACTTATAAAAATTTTAATGAACATTTACAGAAAAGTTGAATTTTCATTCATTCATTGTTGAACATTTTTCTCCCCTAGTTCACTTTCTTTTTAAAAATATTCATTCACTGTTGCACAATTACCTTCCTCTTCCCGCCTTTGCTCTCCCCCAGTCTTTTTTTTTCAATGTACCTCTTATTCTGGACTGTTGTCCTACATGTAATGCCTAATCAAGTATTCCTTTTAAACAGTTATTTCCTTCATCTGTTCTAATGCAGTGCTCATTATCTATGAACTTTTTAAAAATTTTTTTAATCCATCTACTCTTATTCTATTCTCCTCCCAACCTCCCATGTCAGTCCTGCTTTATAATAGTGGTGTTATGCAGTATTTGTCCTTTTGTGACTGAGAGATTTCACTCAGCATAATGTCCTCCAGGGATACCCATGTTGTGTAATGTTTTACGAGTTCCTTGTTTTTCAGTGTTGCATAGTATTCCGTTGCATGAATATACCATAGTTTTTCCATCCATTTGTTTGTTAATGGGCACTTTTGGGTTATTTCCATTTCTTTGCTACATCTTTGCTTTTCTTCCCCCTTCTTTGTTCTTGACATGGAGAGAACATCTAAGTTGCATTTTAGAGGATTGCTTGAGAGATTTTAAGGCTCCAGTCAGTATTCACCAGAGAAAGAAACATGTCTTTGTGATTAGTAAGAAAACTAATGTGCAGAACAACCAGGGTAGGGGAGAACCACTAGGGAAAGCATTAAACTGCTTTCAGAGAAAAACACAACGTAACGATTTAAAACCCCAACCCCTAATGTGGACTAGTTTTTTTAGGTTGGAAGTCTGCTGCTTATTTCTGATCAGTTTTATTCAGGTATGCTTGTTCTAGTAAAATGCACATATTTAAAATACTTAGGTATTGACATGTGTTGCTAATGGTGAAACCAGGATAAACACTGAGATAGAACATGTCCCTCACCCCCTTGAGCTGTGTCCTCGTGCCCTTTTATAATCCCTTCCTTGTTCTCAGGCAGCTCTTCTGCTTTCTGTCACTAGAGTAACTTTGCATTTCCTAGAATTTCATATGAGTGGGATCGTGTGTGATCATTTTGGTCTGGCATAATTAGCTTGCAGTTTATACGTGCCATAGTGTATGTCAGCAGGTATTTCTTTGCATTGTTGAACAACATCCCTATGTCTGGATGTCCCATGGTTTGTTTACCCATCATCTGTTGATGGACACTTGGGTTGTTTTCCACATTTTTTGGCCTCTGAACATTCGTACACATGTCTTTGGAGGGACATTCACTTTTATTTCCCTTAGGTAAATACCTACGGGGGGGGGGGGGGATGGAGGGATCAGATAGTGGATGTATGTTTAACTTTTCCAGAACTTGCCAGGCTGTTTTCCAGAGTAGTCATGCTATTTAAATTCCTACTGGCAGCAGATGAATGTTTCCGATTCCTCCAATATCCTTGACAACACTTGCTATGTGAGCCTTTGAAAAAAATTTGTATTCAATCTACGAGGCATCTCGTAGGGAGCTCTGGTGGCTTAGTGGTAAGCAGTTGCACTGCCCATGCAAAGGTATGCAGTTCAAATCCACTAACTGCTCCACTATGAGAAAGGTGGACAGTCTCCTCTTGTGCAATTTACTACCTCTGAAAACCTCCTGGAGGGTCAGCTGTGAGTCAGTTCTGACTCAGCAAAACACAGCAACAACAACAACAGGCATCTGTCTCATGGGTGGTTCACTTTGGCTCCTTAACGGTGAATAAGTTTTGAGCACCATCTCCATCTGCTTGCTTGGCATCTTCTCTAAGAAGCTTTGGTGGCGTAGTGGGTCAGGCGTGTTTTACTGCTAACTAAAGAGGTTCAAACCCACCAGCCACTGCTGGGGAAAGAGGTGGCCATCTGCTTCCTTAAAGATTACAGACTGGGAAACCCTGGGGGGCACTTCTGCTCTGTCCTATAAATAGGATTACTATGACTTGGAATCAGCCTGATGGCAAATGAGTTTTTCCATCTTTTTTTTTTACGAAGTGCCCGAATCTTTGCCTGTTTATGCCCTTAGATATGTCTTACTGTTACTGAGTTTTGAGAGTTCTTTATATAATGTTGTTCTTTGTTGTGAAGGTGATATTCATAACAGCACCTTCACGCAAACAAACAAAAGACAACCCCAACCAGACCTGCTGC